CCTGTAGGAGCGTTTCCTATGAGGGAAAAGCACAACTAATGACAAATATGCAGAGCATGAGACCTTTCTCAGGCTCTATCATCTCGAGAAGCCGCCATCCTCCTTCCTGCGTTAATCCAACCTTTTTTTTCCCCGATTCTGAGCTGAAACAGGTCTGTCTCTACTCAGTGTCTGAGTGTGCTGTTATGTCATGGTCCAAAGGAGAACCCGAGTGCAGCTCCAGAGCCCATTTACTGGTAGGCAGACAGACTGAAGACCGGTGGAGCGTAAGCGCGCATAAGCACTCCAATAGCCAGAGAGACAATCTCAAAGCATGATGGGAGTTTACACAGGCACGTCGCAGGTAGCTGGATGGGGGTTAATTCTGTCTCAAAGGATTTGATGAAGATGTTAGAGCAGCCCTGACCACGCCAGCCAGCAGCAATCTGCTCACATCTACAGACGGGATGCAGTTTCAAGTCATATCAAAAGCTGTTATTAAAGCTGTTATTCAAAGTTCAAAGGAAAAAGCAAGGAAAGGGCAATGTGTTGATTGCGGAAATTTGGATCGGTTTGACCTTTCCTTGCCCGTCTTCCAACAACTTATGTTGAGACATATTAAAGAAGAAAACACTGTCTCGTTGCATTTAACGATGACTTTGAGTTATTGTTCACACAGCATTCAGATTCCTCCCGTCCCCATTAGCTGGAAAGCAGCAGCTGTGCTGGTTGAGTTGACAAATGAATGCAAAGAACAGGTCACAGAGAGTCACCAACTGAAGCGGTAAATTAGAGGATTAAGACATTATTTACTGATTTTTGGAGAGAGGTTATAATTCCGAGCACAAATAACTGTGTCCACACCTCTGCACAGCCATGTGGGAAGGTGCCACATGGACCAGATTAAAGTGGCTAAACATTTTACCAGCTCCTGGATATGCTATTAAGTGAATACCGGCCGATTTTGGCCAAAACACACTGAAGTTTCTGCATGCTGCTTTTAGGCTTTTGCTCCATAATGTGCGTGAAATCTTTCCGTTTGAAATCTCCAGCCGTAACTAAAAATGGCTGACTCGCTGCATTGTGCGCCACGTAATATGCATAATTGAAACACTGCCACAGAGGGCAGACCAAGTCTCAACCAATAGCAGCTTTAAAAAAAGCTCTAACCCTCACATCCCTTCCTGGTGGCTACATCCATCTCACCTTGGAAGTCATTAGTGAATCGCGCCATAGCAACAAACTGGAAGCACCACACACTATGAATCCTTTTACACAATCTGGTTTCTTTTAGGAGATCCTTCTCAATCTGCCTTATCTTATTTTGTCCGCTCCACATTTTCTATTTCATCCAAAGAAAACTGTCCATTTTGCAAACCAACCAGGGCATCTTGATTCGTTGACATTTGAGAAGACGAAGAAGACTGATCATCGATTAGCTATGTATCGATCTTCTATCTCTTGCTATTGGAGCAGAAATCCAGCCTAACGTTGACGTTGATAGCGATGAGTATCACAAGACGTTGACTAACCACCACAAACCACCCAAAAAGTAGCAAAACCCAGAAAACAAAGTGGAACCGAAGACCTGCAGACAATCCGTATTTAGGCACATCAGAGCGAACGGGGATGGGAAAAAGAGAACGAAGGAAGGAAAGAGGAGTGACAGCTCAATATGTGCATACACACAGGAGCAGATGAGACACAGGTGGCGACAATCAAGTCGGAGCGGGCAATCACAAACACAAAAGGTGATGCCAGACATCACACGAGGGAGATCGTCGTCTCTAAATTAAATAAGAAAAGAATCAGATTCCGGCTAAACAGGAGCGTACCCACAGGAAAGGGCTGGGGCAGATACCATGGTTGTTTCCTTCTCCCTCACTTCCGGCTGTCTTTCTCGATTATTTTCTCACTACAATTCATTATGGCGCGCATACCAGCCTGTTTTTCCTGAAAATGCCCCCAAAAGCCCACTTTTAACTCAAATGATGCTAAAAGCCAGTTTCCTCTAACAGGTTTACATATCCTCCTGCCCTTCTTTTGCTTAATCCAGTTTAACATGTCGACAAAAAGCCTAATCAGATTGAAAATGGCGTGCGAAACTATAGTTTGCCGAAATCCCCCGAGAACAGAGCAATCTCCCGAACAGCCGGAGCCATGAAGATTGCATGACTGAGAGGAGCAATCCTACAAGGTGAAACCTGGGACGACTCGGGGAGACATCTGGACTCCCAGATGTGAGACGAGAATAGAAAACTCATCTGTTTGGGCCGCCCCGCTCCGCCTCGTCCCGTCCCGCCTCAACCCGACTGTGACAACGGCTAATTACCCCAGCTCAGATCCCGCACAGATTGCTGACAGTCTTGTTAGCCCCCCGATTTGCGCTTTTAATTGAATCTGGGATATCTGCATCATCTGGCTCATACTAAGCGTGTTTGGTTGTTTACGAGAAACCATTTTATTTGGAGTCACTTTTAACCGAGGAGTCTTTCTAATGGTGGGTTGAAAAGATTCCGTAAGCCGAATAAATTGACACGGGATTCGTCTGCGTTTGTTTTTTTTATCCAGATAAAACAACATGGTGGAGGTTTGTGGGATAATGGGACCGAGATGACAGAGGGAACAACAAAAGCTCCAACGCCCGCCCACGCGTAACCCCATTCATCCTCTCACCATCTCCACTTTAAAAAGAGGCACGTGCGCTAACACCGAGCGTGTGAGACGTGCGCGCTCTCAGCCCCATTTCTTTAGCAGCTTGTGAAACCTTGCCCAAAGCAACTGGAACGCACGCGCCATGAATAATCTGCTCACATCTCCGAGCTGAATTGGAAACATCTCCGCGTTCGGGCTGACATTGTTGCGCCGGTGAACTTTGACGGGATCAAAACCTGAAAGCAGCTCCGCCGGAAAGGCTTCATCATCTGGTGAAAAGTTCCGACAAATGTCAGAGAGGCCGTTCGGAATGTTTATTCACTTCCCCGGCCGAGATAGATAAGGAGAATGATTTGTAAACATGAACCCGAAGCCGTTTGCCAGGCAGCTCCCCGCCAACCAACATGGCTTCTGTTACAAACTATGATATCAAAATGACCATATGGTTGTCAGGGAAAGTGCAATTTTGAGAAAGCTCCCCTCGGAGCGGGGAGATTTGGGCTGCCCTTCTGTGCGGCGGGGAGAGCCGCGTGGTTTAACGGCCGCTAAACGCCCGTTGTAATTTGAGATAATGGCTTTGACATTTCAATGTCCGACACACTGCGAGTCACGGCGAGCGGGCCTTTATCGGAAAAGCTGGACGGGAAAAAGTTGGAGAGTGCGTAATCTCCCCGGTAACGCTTCGGCCTTAATCTTTTTACACGTACAACTGTGAAAAACACTCTTCTTTCATTTTCCATAATACGTCTATAGAATCAAATGCATTATAGGTGAACGTGCTGATTATTGGGCAAAAATAGAAAGGGTTAAAGCAGAAATCTGGGCTCCTTTATTCTCCAGCAAAGTCTCTAAGACCAGCTTTGAGGCATTTTTTTAAGTACTTACTTCTTGAAGGACATCCCAAAGCTTTTCTTTGGAAGCGGGCTGCCTTTGGCTCTGTTCTCTGTCAGATGATCCCACGTGGGCTCTGGGGAAGATCCGTCCCTCCGGACCTGCTGCCTATGATCGTCAGTCCACTTCCTGTGTCCTTTGGCAGAAATCAGTCTTTCCTGCCTGTTTCCCTTCCCAACTTCTAGAACACGTTCCTCTCAGCTTCTGTTCACCTGCTGCAGACACTTTAATAGGACAGGATTTCAACCCCTAGTTCCTTGGAACTCATGGAAATCCAATTTATGCCATCAAGTTGGGTTATTTTTGGAAGATAAAAGCAAAAATTGGCTCTCTGCCACATTAGTTGAATGTGTAGACATCACAGACAATGTAGCTCATTCCTCGGCCTTCTTCTATTAATAGGCGAATGTGTAAGATAAAGCTATGGATCAAGTTGGTGTGCATTTAGCCGGGACTCATCCTGTAAATGCATTTGTTTCCTCAGCCCTAAGAAAACAGGCTCTAACCTCCCCACAGCCATGAGGACGCAGCAGATGAGCGGAGCCGTGCACGCTCACCGTTCTGAGCACTGACTCAGCTTCTCCACAGAGGCGTCAGAGGCAGCTGGCTGCTTTATTACCTCATCATATCTTTGGAGATGGATCTAAGTTTTTAGTTCTTCAGGCTTTTTAACGAACACCCTTGGCTCTGCTGAGAGGACAGACTGTTCCTCCCGTGTGAGAAATGCTGCCTTACCAGGTAGAAACCCTCAGAGAGCTCGTGTGAGGCTGTAGAAGTTTTTCTCCTGACCTGTTCTCACCTCCCCGCAGCTCATAATCCTAATATTTACCGAGAAATGTTAGCCTTTCCACAGAGTAGATTCTGTATTTGCAGAGTGTCCGTTCAGCTGGTCACGATACAGGAACCGGGCTGATAGCATGTCTTGCTTTTTCCTTTTCATCTGGTTTTCCTCTTTGTTTGAATTAACTCAAACTCATTTTCCCTTCTTGGATTTCAGAGCTTAATATTGCATTTTTTTCCCCTGTATCAGACAGTTTCGCTGTATCGCTTTATTATCCAAGTTTTGTTCAGACATTTCAAGACATGTGAAGTAAAGTACCAATAATACAACTGAACCCCTTTATAAACTCTGTACACACCTTCAGCCCCACAGTCATTTCCATCAATGCTGTGCAACGCTTCATGAGATAAATATCGGCAAAGAAAGATCCAAAATTCCTCATTAAAGCACAGATATTGTTGGCACGCAACCATTCCAAAACAAATCGCATTACGCCGATAATAGGAGAAAAAAAAAAAAGGCCAAAAGTTTCAGAAAAAATATGGAGCCTTGGGCTCTCACAAAGACATCAGGATCTTTTCCTTTTGTATTAGGTTATTACACATAAAGCCAAGTGTCTTGTTGGAACAGTTCAGGTTCAAATGTTGACGCGTGCTGGACAGTCGAGCTGCGTTTGTGACAGCGGGGGGGGGGGCTACGAGTGCACCAGTTTGATGCCCTGCCCCGTGTCCAGCACGGCGGGGGGGAACCAGGCCAGCTTGCACCTGCGGAAGCAGCGCAGGCAGGCGCTGCAGAGCCAGAACGGGTCCAGGCCGCAGCACCAGTTGGACAGGTAGACCAGCGGGTAGGTGGCCTTGGGGAAGTGGGTCTTCCAGTGCTTGGCCACGTCGCTGCCGGTGGGGAGGTGCAGCGTGTAGTCGCCCCAGCGCTTGGACACGCCGTACGCGGCCCCCGCCGCCCGCCCCCGCTCTGACCACTGCGTGCCGCTGGCCGGGTTGCAGTTGAACTCCACCCACTCGGCGGTGAAGTCGCCCAGCAGGGGCGGGTCCCCGGCCTCCGGGTCCGGGGGGGGGGGCCGCCGGCTCGGCGCCCTGGACAGCCACGTACACCCCCTCCAGCCGCCGCGCCTCCTTCACCCAGGGGAGGGAGTTCTCCGTGTCCAGGACCACGATGAGGCGGGAGCAATGGCCGGCGTTCTTCTCCTTCCAGATGTCCAGCAGCTGGCCCAGGTGGAGGCTCTCGCCCCCTGTGGGACCAGAGAAAGGCCCGATTTTAGTCTCCCCACCCTCACAGACAGCAGGAGCTTTGTATGAAGGCTCGACTAGCATGGTGAAAAGACGGTGGCCATCTTTCGGGGTGGGTTCCCTGTGTGTTTGCAGCCAACTAATATAAATAATTAATAATAATTAAAGAAATCATCTGCCTGAACCCTCTCCATCCGAATCGAACTTTCGACATGAGGCGTTCGAGGCCGCTCCGGCTGTCTGATGTGCGGAAGTGGGCCTGACTGTCTGGGACAATGGAAATGATGAAAGGGACGGAAACCCGACTCGTTCTGACGGCTAGCTCTTATCGTCTTTCTGCAGACTGAGACAACAAGTCTTTGGTAATTATTTACTGTCTGAACGAGATTATTCAGACGGCTGCGAAGGAACGAAGCTGAAGATGCATTTCAAATTCTGGGAGGGGGAAAAAAAAAAGAAAAAAAAAAGACCTCTTTTGATGTTTGAAACAACGAATCCGACGGTAATCAGACAGAAAGAATAAAACGCTGCCGTCTCACACTGTCAACATCCCACACTTCTTCCTGAGGGGGGGCTCCCATGATGCACCTCTCCCCCCTCTGCATCTATAGGCCCAGACTGCTGGGGGGGATCTCCCATGATGCACCTCTCCCTGCTCTTTCCTCTCTGTGTGACATCACTGCTGTCATTAACCCTCCTTCCTGTCCCAGAAAAGACGGTTCTGGTTCTGATGGAGGTTCTCTCCTCCTCAAAGGGAGATCTGTCCACCATCGGTCAGGATGGCAGGCTGGATTGGAAAAGACCTTTTCCTGCCCGGCTCCCTGAGCTTTTCTTAAAGTGGCTCTTCGTTAATCGGAATAAATGGGAGTCTAATTGATCTGACTGGATGAGGATTGCACTGCGCTGAACCAGATCTTAACTCATTGACTGCCAGACATTTTCAGAACAGAGAGTCCCATACTGCCAGAGTTTTTTGAGCATTTTGACTGATTTTTCAAGAGCCACAGAATAGTTTGTGCTATGACTATGTAAACACCAAACACACCAAAAGAAAGAGTAGACTCTCTTCTCTCATCAGGAAAAAAAAATTGTTTCTACCTTATTCCGTTCTTCCTCGACGTGCGTCTCACCGGCGACACGTTCTCTCATAGCGAACCGTTACCTTTTTCTTATTTGCCTACAGTCTATGCTCTTCTCCCATCAAAAGTGGCACTGCCACCTAGAGGGTCAATTTGTTAGTACATACTCTGTCTAGAAGCCGATATTTACGGACAAGCTTTAGCAGATCGTCCCCCAAGCCACTCGCGTTGAAAAACATAAAAGACGTCTATAGACATCTTTGGCAGCCAATGAGTTAAGAGGCTTTAATTGGTCTAGGAAGTGGCCCGATTTGGTATTAGTCGTGAACACATTGAAACTTCATTCGGAGGAGAAAAAAAAGGAGAATTCAGTGATTTGTGTGGAAAGTGAAGCGTCCTCACCGGCCAGGGCCCAGGCCCCGGAGGCCTTGTGCGTGTGCCCGCTGTAGAAGAGCAGGTAGGTGTCGTGGCGGGGGCCGTCGGCCGTGCGCAGCTCCAGGAAGCTGCGCAGCTTGGCCTGCGCCGCCTCCAGCGACACGCCGCCGGTGGAGTAGTCGCAGCCGAAGGTCTGGACCATGTGGTGGGAGAAGAGGCGCTGCACGCTGTTCAGCATGGCCGTGGAGCGCAGGTTCAGCTCCTGGACCCGGCCGGCCGGCAGCAGGGCGGGCTGGCCCCCGGCGCTGCGCGGTACAGAGACACGCCGTGAGAAGAAGAAGGCTGGCTGTTTGTCTTCTTTATCTACTCCGGGGAAGAGTTAAGTTAGGCAGCTTGTCAGAAGGCGGGGATGGAAGAGAGGCCGGGGACACAACATACAAGATATGAATGACTGAGGAGGGGGGGGGGGGGGGGGTTTTGAGTGTGATGGATTGACACGGCGGGGTGGAGGGAGCTGTCTGCAGTCCCGGGGAGAGAGAGGAGACGGATGGGGGAGGACCAAAAAAGCCGGCGGAAGGAGGGGCGACATTACCGCTGGAGGAAATGACATTAGCCCCGGGGATACGGAGCAGAATTGGAAATCAAAGTGAGAAAATTGCGAGAAAAAGTTGGAGGGAGAGCGCGGAGGTCAGAGATAGTTGAGCAGGAGAGGGATTTTTTTTTTTTTCTAAGAAAGTGCAGATGCAGGTGGCTTGACGGTGACAAGCAGATGATAAGAGACACACACACACGCGGCACATCAAAGCTATCAGCCGCGGCCGTTTACTCTTTATCTCTGGGCTTGATGGGATGGCAAAGTCACACTTTTCCCACCAAAGACATCTGCATACAGCTGCCATCCCATTACGGCGCGTGTCACCTCCATCATCCCCGGCGTCTGCCGGGAAAGGACGGGGCGGCTTTCACCTGGCGCCGGCGTCACGCGGCTGATTTCTTCTTCTTCAAAAAGCAAAGACGAAAAACCCCACCACATCTTTGATGTGCCGGTGTGATTTGTGGTCAGCTTTTTACTTTCAGACCTGATCGTGAACTTCGCAATTCGAAGCAACGCCCACTAAACTCTGCCAGATCCCCCAATAAAGCCATTTTACGCTTGTTCTTAAAATGACACGTTGCAACCCGTGCATGACTTGGCGAGCCGAGCGTTCCCCTAAACCTATTTAATCTGTTCAGATCTCATGGCGTCCGCGGGAGAGAAAGCTTCTATTTGATATTCTGACCACATCTTCCCCCCCCCGAGACACCCTCTCTTTCATCCTTTGGAAAAAATAAAAAAACTAGCATTTCTTATTTTTTCTCAAAAGCCCCCTCAGTTCTCCGTCCTCTCGCAGTTCCTCCCATTCCCTGGCCGGGTCCGTCCACCCTGGCTTTTATCGCCTCCTTTCCTCGGCGTTTACCGCCTCAATTCTGCCGCCTTCTCCCCGACCTGCTTCAGCCTCTGACCTCGCTGAGGTGGAAACAGAGGTAAGATCTGAGTTCAGGTGGAGCCCGTCGTACGGTCAGCCTCTGCTGCTTAGAGGCCAGACGCTTGTTGAAATCTCCCCAGAATTCTCGATCACGTGGTGGCGCCCCCTTCACTAACAACCATGCAGAGGGAAGACTGGAATCCTCCCTCCAGGGCCAAGACATTAACGCCATGTTTACAGACGGTTATTAGCCTATTTTAGCTGTTGGGTACGTGCTAACTGAGGGGAAAAAATGGTGTTTGCCTCCCCTGTGATGCCAATAAGGGCTGCCATATTCACCGAACAGAGTCCTGCACACGTTCAGGACACGGTCATCCGACAGACACCCCCAATACGTTCGCAGGAAGGGGATTTTTTTACTGGAATTTCTCATGTGGATGCCGCTCGTCTGCGGGATATCGGGGCTTCACGCTCCTTCCTTCGTTTATTCCCTCGTGAGACGGGGACAAAAGGTTGTTTTTTTACGGCGTACGTTTCCCCAAAAACAACAACATCTCCCACACGTTCACTGGATTACCAAAGGACTCCGTGCATAGCAGCAAACTCTGCTGCTCTATGCTGCTGGTTGCTATGGAGATAAATTGTAAAAAAACAAAAACAAAGACTTTTTTGCTCCCAAACCACCTGGTTTGATGATAACTATTCTGAAAATCATGTCAGTCACAGACTAAGTGACTGTGTAACAATAATGATAATAATAATAATAATAATAATAATAATAATAATAATAATAATAATAATAATGAATAAAAGCCTGTAATAACACATTTATTAGGAGTCCAGGTCTGCATTCGCACCATCGAAGTGAAAGTTTTTACTTTTTCTCACAGTAAAAAGTAAGGATTGAGACATTTTGTACAGAAATACCTGCAGTACGAGGTGGGAATGACCAGCGCGTAGCCCACACAGGTCCCCCCCAGGCAGCTGCCGAGCTCGTGGAACAGGCCGAGGGTCAGGGACTCCAGAGGCAGCACCACCAGCAGAGCGCTGAGAAACAGGCCGTTGGAGGGCTGCGGAAAAATCCAGACAATCAGAGTCACTTTTATTCAGCACTCGCGGCTCACACTGTGATAATCAGCCCGGCTTAAGAGATGTTGACACTTGCTGAGATGGCTACACAATATAAGGCGGACACTGTGCTATTATATCAAGACAAAAACATGACAGGGTCTAATGCAACAAAGAGGCAAAGCTGTGCTACGCGGCATCTCAAATAAGTGCCTCCACTTCGGAAACATGTCGGTTATATCACAGTTTTGGCTCTTTCTTCCTATTGGAAGGTTTTTTGTCGGATCCTTTTATCGATTGCAAAAGAATAAAGTCAGGACACATCTGAACAGTGACATTAAGCAGATCAGGGCCCATCTTCAGCTGTTAGAGGCACGCAGAACAGAGTTAATCAATTAAACAAACACAAACGCAGGTCAAAGTTTCCTCATTCTTTGAGCATCGGTCAGTGTTCTCCCCACATTAGGAGGCTAAATCATTCCTGTGTGTCTCTAAGAGACGAAACAATGCTGAATTTTCAGCAGACGTCCAAATCACGACCACGAGAGGGTCCATATTCAGTCTATTCACCGACATCTGATGGGTTTAAGTTCCTCCTGAGAGCCTCAAGGGTGATTCTAATTTCTAAGAAGTGCTTTTGTGGGCGAGCGCATCATCAGAAGCGCCATTGTCTGCGTGTCAAAATCAGCTTTGAGCTGATCAGGTTGGATCTTACAAAGCGAAAAGAAACGTCGGCAAATTACGTCAAACAGTCACTTAAAGGTGGAAATTTGATGAATGTACTTTAGCTTTTTGGAGTATCTGACAATACAGAGCAACGACTATTTTGTGAGGTTTGTCAAACGTCTGAGGGCTAAATTGTGCTGACGAAAAGCAAAAATATGACAATCGTATTTATTTCTATGCATTCACCTCAAATGTGGATGAGTAAATGCATTTTAAAAGGCGATAAATCTCAAGACAGCATGAAGGAAGACCACACAATATAAGGGCTCACAGTCTGAGGAATGATTTGCAACAGTCAGTACAAAGCAGGCGGAGCCGCTCTGCACTTAGCCGTAATGCATTCCAGAGCGGGCTTCTGAGCAGCCCGCGCAATCTCACAAAAATCTATATTCTGCTATTTAATCAATCAGTGCTGTCAAACGGAATTCCATACCGGCTTTGGGAAAAAAAATAAAGGCTCGCAGGATAAAACTTTATACTTTGTAAAGAGACAAATCTCCTCCCAGTCCCAGTAAAAAAAACAAAAAATAAAAGATGGGAGTCCAAAAGAACTATTTTACGGTTTGCATTCAGGGCTTTGTCACCTGCCATTCCTTCTGTGGACAGATTACATCACTTTCTCTGTATTTCCACTGCACTAAACAAAAAGTATTAAAAACACCAAATAGCTCCAGCGGTCTCAGGCAAATTAGCATCCAACATCAACAATGTGCACATCTTAGATTAGGATTCAGGTCCATGAGATTTTTACAAGGTAAACGCCTAATCAGGCTAAATAGGTAGTTTCTGCTCTTTATGCATGGGGAAGGGGATATTAAGGAGCTAATTAAATTTGCTTTCCATGAGAGCAGCAGTGCCACAGTAACTGCACACAGCACCGGGAAAAAGATTAAAAACTGATTTTTTTAGAGTTGTTCTGCAAATTTTAAATGATTTCCGACAACAGCTGAGGTTCTCATTTTGAGAGAGCGGGAAAACGACTCGTGTTTTCTACCTGCCAGGACACGGCCGCCAGTATCACCGTAGACAGCAGGCAGAAGATCGCCAGGCGCTCCGAAATCAGGCAGAAGTGCCGGATGCCGCGGGACGCCATGACTTGGGCCAAACTCCGGCTGCTCGAGCGGTGCGCTCGCCAGGTCCTCTGGCACTCGCTCAGCTTTGTGTGGAAGCCCCAAATCGTGATCAGCAGAATCATGTGGCAGATGGCCCAGAAGAGGCCGAAAAGGCAGAATCCCGGGATGACCAGATACCACAGCTCCAAGTGGCCGAGCTGTGAGCAAGACAGGAAACGGTCCAATCAACACAAAACACAGCAAAGCAACGCACACTCCTGCACATTCCAACTCATGCTAGAAAGAAACGACTGCTTTGACAGTGTAACGAATGTGGAATTATGCTTTTACCTTCAAGGCAGCGAGGACAAAGAAGGCCAGCTCGGTTACACACAGAGGAAACATGGACAGCCTCCTCCATACCTTCCCCAAAGAGAGCACTGGCACCCAGCGCTCGCAGGGCCCCAGAACGCTGAAGTACACGTCCAACAGAGGCTCACACAGCAGCCGGCCCAGGAAGCAGCCTAAGGCGTAGGGGTTGGCCGGGAGGCCCAAGGCTTGGAAAAAAACGAGGGATGTAATTAAGGCAAAACTGACGAGGTTGGGCAAAGCGAGGAGGGACTTCATCCTCAGGTCCACGATCAGAGCCCCCAGCCCCACCACCAGGCCTATGATGGCCACCGAGCTGTGCAGGAGCATGGCGGTGCTGGCCACGCCGAACCCCAGCAGCTGCAGCCACTCGGCGGGCACCAGCAGGGCGGGCCGGTGGCGCATGGCGCCGCACAGGCGCTCGGTGGCGGCCCACACCGCCTTCATGACCACGCTGGCCACCAGGAGGTAGTCGGCCGCCAGCTCTTTGACGTTCAGGTCCAGCGCGGGGCCGTTGAGGAAGCACAGGAGTCCGAGCAGAAAGCCCGACCACAGGTGGTACAGGCTGAGGCTGGCCTTCTCCATGGCGAAGTAGTAATGGAGGATGCTGGCGATCCCCAACACGAAGAGGCCCAGGATGAAGATGACCAGGATCATGGGCTCGCCGGTCACCTCCCAGCGCACGTACATGCCCACGCACACCGCCACCAGCAGGTTGATGCTGGACAGGTAGCCCAGGCAGCACACGGACGTGAACACGTCCACCTCCCTGGGCGCCTTGGCCGTCAGCTCCTCCTCCTCCTCTTCTAGATCCATGTTTGAGCAGAAATGGACGTCCAAACAAAACTTGGGAGCCTTTGAGCTTTAGCCGGAGCCTCTCATCCTCTTAGACTGGCAGCTGGAGGTCTGTGCCTCATGATGAACTTCATCCAAATCAACCCCTGTGGAAAAATGAGCAGGCGTTATTACTCCAGATGTGCAGCCTGTGCATATTTTTAGGTTTATTTACCATTCCTTATTTTTTTTTTTTTAAGCAGACTAAACCGTGGCATTCTGGACCAAACCTACGAATATAAAACAGCGTAGCTGGGAAAATAACTGAAACAACCGACAGCATCGAAACACAAACTGCGAGAACGGCCCTGGTGTGAGTCGGTTAGTGGCGATGTGGCACTGAAGCCCAGAAGTTTTGGAAACCTTCTCCTCCCTGCCTGCAACTAAGCCTTCGCTCACGTTTTGAAGGGTCTTAAACCGTCAAAAGTAACGCAAAGCTACCTGTGAAAAGCTGTCCCGGTGAAACGAGTGAACAAAAAACACTCATTTACGGTACAATGCGCTGTTTTTGTAATTAAATGTTGCTTACATAGTGTTTAGTTGTCAGCGGCTGGGCTTCCGGGTTCAGTTCTACGGCGTGTCGCAGCGGTCAAAAATAGTCATTCGCTTTTCTTGCATCCTTTAATAAAAAATCTATCTATCTATCTATCTATCTATCTATCTATCTATCTATCTATCTATCATATATTCTTAATGTGAAAATATACATTTTGATTAATAGAACTTTGATAATCCATGTATGGTGAATAGAGGAAATATTCAAATCAAAAGGCTGAATAGTGTTAATGGGTGTCCGTCTACAATTTATCCCTATTTCTTGATATAATTGTATCATTCACTGGAAATTGTACTGTGAAATATTCACTCACGAAAAATATTGGTGAACTGAATATTATATACTTTCTTGTGCCTGCAGTGTATTTTTGAGCACCGGTGCTATAAAACCTTTAAGATGCTACTATCATACACCTGGCACCTCAGATGTCTGTAAAAATATAGAGCAGGATAAACCCATTGGTTTCCAGGATAAAGCATATATTTATAGGAATAATGAGCACAAGCCAGTTTCAAGGTTTATTTTGGATTTTCTACTGATGCAATGTCATGTAGTGATCGGTGGAACATCACGATGCAGGCTTACTCAATCCCCCGCGGGAATACCAAAGCAACCTTAGCTCATGTGTGCATTTCTCATGTTGCTGCGGGGGAGTGTGTTTGTGTGTGTACTCTGCTTTGATCAAAAGTTGACAGAAGGTAAAAATGGGAACAGAGACTGTTTAAGCCTCTTCAAAATACCAACATACCCCAATTTAAAAAAAGAAGAAGATTTGGCTAAGAATAAGACGCAAGCTGTCAAATGTGATTTAATGTGCACAAGATCTTTTTAAATATATATTCAGAACAACTCACCATCTGTTTTATTTCCGACAATAATTAATAACAGTATGAAAGAGTAGACTCTCAAACGAAAACCAACGTAGATGAAATCAATTGTCTTTCAAGGCAAAATATTCTGCTTTGAATGTTACATTTTTAAAGGCAGAACTACGGACTGCTAAGACTTTCAGAGGTCTTTCCATTCTTGTTCATTTACACCACCCAATTAGACATTGCACACACGCACCTACTGACCAGAAAGGTAGCAGCTGGAGACACTTCTGCCCAAATTTGCTGCTTTTTGTTTGGCCTTTCTTATCTACTTACTTACTTGTGTGAGGTGGACAGCTGCTGCCAGTCAGGCTCATCTCTTGCTGCTTGTTAGAGGGATTGTTAACTTTTTTTTTTTTTACATATGTAACCATAACAAACAAGGCCAACTTATAGTGCTTATATTATAATGTTCTTTCTTCATGAGGTTAATGCAGTTAAAAATAAAAAGTTGATAACCAGGAATTTATCTGAACTTTGGCTAATTCCTTTCAAATCCATTTATTTCCACATGGTAAAAAAAGATAAATAATAGAATAAAAGAGTCCACATTTATTTAATTAGAGCTTTGGTTTCATGCATAATTAAGGAACTCTGTGATCAAATAATTTCCTACAACTCTAGCCTCTGTGCTGGTCAACACTAATTAGTCATTTTCAGCAGGGAGTATCACATCACCATGTTTGCTAATGTATACTGAAGCTGGGCCTTTAAAGAAGGAAAAAACTCCCCAGTCCAACTGCGTCTGAAGCCTCACATTCCGCACACGGACTGGCATCTAAAGAGAGAGATATCATCAAAAAGAGCAGACTTAACATGTCTCCCTGACTGGTTTTACAGCTATTTCCACCTTGAACACACGCGAATGCAACATTTCACAAATGGCCGCTTAAGAGGGGAAAAGAGCTACCGAATGGAACCGAAGAGAGCTGTCAGACCCAAGATGAAACATCCCCAACGACCTGGAAAAGAAGGAAAGCATGGGGCAGATATCCTGGAGAAGAAATGTATTTGCGGACAGAGAGAAAGAGAGGAGGATTCAATAATAACAGAAAGAAGGAGATGTGAAAAGGAGATGAAGAAATGTGGAACACTGAAAGAGACAGGTTAATCTGAATTATGCAGAAGCCACTTCCGTTCTGTGGTCAGACACACTTCTACACCACCTTAATGTGCAGCTGGTCCGAACTGTGTGAATATCAATTAAATTAGGATTTCAAGAACAAGTTAGGGCTGATATGCTGCTTGCTGCCATATAATGGATGGAAAGTCAAGGAAAGAGGTTTCTTAAGTGGTTGTAAAATACCATGGATCCTTTTCCTTAGATAAAACATACCCTCTCAAGTGAATCTTCACACTATTACGTTTCTCATCTTTGTTTCACCACAGAGATGGCCTCACAGGCACTGAAGACGGGCATTAGAGGTAAACCATGTGCTGCAGGATCATCATCCAAGTGCAGAAATTCCTGAGTGAAAACCTTAGTTGTGAAGTGAAAGGACTCAAAACAGCGGAGGACACACACATAACACACATTTGCGTCTGAATGCTGCTGGATAAAAAAAAAAAAAAGTTAAGTACCGATTCACTGGGGATTTTTATCTGTCAGTGCGTGAATCATTGTGCAAATCAGAAGTTCAGAAGTTGGCATTTCATTACCGTCTACCTCTCTGAGTCTTTCATCTCAGCCCTGCAGACTTTGGGAGAGACGAACTAAGATGGAGACGATTTTACATAAACGATCGCTCCTTTAATTGGTTACATGAGGTACTGTGGTCCAGTGGCTTTGTATTGTTGGCCGGACCCACGGTGCTGTAAAGGTGTGAAAGGCAAACGGGGTGTCCAGCCATCAGGAGAGGTTTGTTCAATCAGGTTGTTATGGAGCTTTCCACCAAAATTGGATGATAGAAGAGGCAGAGAGCTTTGTATATCCTTTAAAGTTAAAGTTATTTCGGTATAAAAGTCGGCTGTCTTTAGTTACAAGAATGAGGGGGGAACATTTAAATGGTTTAGTGAAGACCAAATACAAAAACTAGAAAAATATGCTTTTTCAGTGAGAACGACCATGTTTCTCAGACATGAATAGAACATAGATGGTGTTTCTTTTTTAATCAAGAGCTGTTTTGGTGCTTTAAGCTCAGCACTTTTACCGATGGATTTCTTAACAATGTTATCACTGAGGTGCACATTACTGGGAGGACAGAAAGCAGCATTCAACCCAGTTTGTTTGGGGGAGTCAAGCTCCCAAATAAACCCGCAATCTTCCATTCCTTCTGCCATGCGTTGCTGCTTTCTGCCCTTCTCCTGTGACGAGTGACAGCTTGACAGTAAACACAGCTTTTACACCTTCATACATTTGCTTGGAGAAACTTCTAACCATATCTTTTCCCTGTTCTTTCATTTTTAATCTTCCCCCTCACTCAGGTTAGAAGGTCAGAAACACGTGTTCGGGACGCCATACAGGCCTTTGTTTAACTATTAATATATGTATACTTGGGTTAGAAAGGCATTTAGAGACGGGCTTAGCATATACGTTGTGTAAAGGACTTAAAGTAAAATAAAGAAAAAGTGCTTTAAGGGCTATAATGGATAGTGCAGACAAAAATCTGAGAGTGTTATTCATTTTTTCTCCATGTCTTCTTTCCTTGGAGCCATTTTTAGATAGGCCTGTGGCATTTTTTTCCCTTACAAGACAGGAAGCGCATAGAGATGATGTAAAAATATATCCACCTGTCCCCATTAATCCTGCCAGAAAGTGAAACTCACCACTTATATTCGCTTTCTGTTCAAAAGGCAGAGGCATCTTCACAGGACAAGGACAATGCCTCATTTCTCTGGAATCATTTCAAACAGCTATTATGTTGCCTCATCCTCCGTCAACATCACAGACGTGAGTCCGGCACTAAAAACGAACCTCACCAGAAAGACGTCCTTCATGTCTCAGACACAGAAGATAAGGAAACGTTTGAGATAAAACAAAGCTTCGAGTGTAAGATGTTTTTTTAATAAGCGGCTTTGGAAGAGACGTTATTAAAAAAAGAACAAAAGAAGGTCTATCGACTTTTGTCTGGCTTGATATTAGCTTCTCTTGAACATAAACTCTGACTATAACTACTAGTTGAGGGCAATCATACATTATCAATTTCATATAGTCCTTTGCATGAGATCACCCTGTGAGGCGGCGATGGCTTTTTTAATAATCCGAAGGATAAAAAGTCTCGTTCATTAATGGTGCCAACAGGGAAAAATTACCCCTCAATTAATAAATCTGTTTGTGCCATTGTGAGAAACGCTGTGCCTTGCTTAAAGACTGCCATGCACCTCCTCAGAGTCCTTTCTCATTCCTCCATCAACAGAGCTAATGACGATGGTATTGTTCATTAAACACGCACGGCTTCACAAACGAGGGATCCGGCTTCTATCTCTGTCGCCGAGCTTTAATGTGCTTATCTTGTAATTGGCCGGCATCAGTCAGGAGTTTGTCAAGCGCGACCACCGTCCAGCAGAGTCCCCCTTCCCTCAGCGGGATCCCCTCATCCATGATCAGAGACAAGAACGTGGTCCTGTAAATGTCTCCTACTCTGTTCCCAAAACCAGACAAAGTGGGCTTGTGGGGGGAAGTGGAAAAAAAGGCCAGCATTCAGGAGTCTTGCTGTGCCTTCTCAGGTTTAACAAATCAGCATCTGTTTGTGTTTCTGCCTGCCAAATACTCCCCACTTTCAACCTAACGGAGGGGGATGAGAGTCAGTAAATTGAGAGCCACCATTAAAGTCCTGTACTGCAATCTGCTGCAATGTTCAGTTTTTGATTAAACAATCCTTTCTGAGTTTGAACCATATTTGTATGGATGATAACAGTGTTTGTAGTTTCTTTTTCAATTTGAATATTTATTTGCACAACGAGGCTTTTTTTTTTGGGCAAGTGATTAAAGAAAAGAGCATCAGGAAGTCGCCACTTAATAGGATGTCTCTCATGACAGAAACTAGAAATAATTGTGGCAATGGTCAGCATTTTTACATCAAAATAATAAAAAATACATCATAAGTCCTAATTAGTCAATAAAAATTCAGGTTATTAACCACATTTTTCAATTCAAGTGCTGAGCTAGAC